GTGCTCCACTCTCCTCCTCCCCCTTCATCTGCTCCCGTGTGCTCCGATCAGATATGTCCTTCTCCCGGAGCTACAGATTCAGTGCCATCCTTTGAAATAAATTCTTCTGTGGGGAGGGGCAGGTGTCCACATAGTAGTTGGGATTGGGGCCAGCCCCTCAGACAAAACTCAGGATATTTAAGCCTTATTGCAGTTGAGGTTCTTGTTTCTCTCAGCAAAAACCCAGCACGCACTCATTCATCCATTCATACCATGCCAGAAACAGGGCAAGATGGAGGCCAGGGGTGATTAGACACTTGCTGCCTGCCACGCACTATGTTAAGCATTTGATTGGTATACATTTAATCCTTACAGCAACCCTGAGAATTTTGTTACTACTTTCTTTTTAGACATAGGGAGCTTGAGGCACTGAGATTTTAAAGAACCAGCCGAGATCAAACAGCAGTGGGGCAGATCCAGGAGTCCCACCTGAGACAAACCCCAGAAGGCGAGCTCTTCCCTGGTGTGTGTGACAAGGCCGGGGGCTGCTTCTCTTGTGGGGTTGTGGAACTTGCATGACTCAAATGCATAAAGCACTTAGAATAGAATCCTCCCAGCACATGGTGGAAAGCACACTGTCAGTATTGGCTGCTGTCCTGTGTTACATATGGAGGAGCACCGACAAGGGAGGATTCTTAGAGGAGACAGCGGCGGCATCCGAACTGAATTTCAAAGGGCTCGAGGGCAGCCCTCAGTGAGGTGGGCTGACAACAGCTGCAATCAGAGGTGGCTTGGGACTGGGCAGCGCCCCAGTCAGTTATCCATTGGGTCACTGAGAACCAGTGCAGCAGGATCCTCACAAGGGGGGTGAGTGAGTGAGTACCCAGACAGCCTGAGTCACCCTGAGCACTGCGGATAACAGCCCAACTAGAACAACAGAATCAGCTCATGTTTTACAAGCAGGCTCGAAGTCTTGATCTTGACTCCTTTGCCCCAACGGTTTGGATTAATAGGAAGGAGCCAGGAGCTAAATGGAGGCAAGCGATGAGCTTTATTAATGGAGGTTCAGGAACTCCCAGCTGCACTAGAAGACCTAGCTAAGCCCAAGGATGAACATGGAAGATTCTTACCCTTTTCCTCAGCAATAACTGGTCACCCACTGGACTGGCCGTTTTTGCAAATGGAAGTTGTGGGGGGGCTGTCCTGGGCAGAGGCAGGCACAGCCTGCCCTTCCTCCATGAGGGTGAACAAGAGCGCAGAACACTAGGCAGGACGGGATGCAGTCAGCTCCCTAGACACGCTGTGGGGACACTGTTAACTCCGCGGGGTTGAATAGGGAAGGTGGGGTTTTGGGAAAGGCACAAAGGATGGAAAGGCAACAGGCGGCCAAAAGTGTTTTCTCTTCAGTGTCCTTAGACCAGCCTCCTCCGTGCTGCCAGAGGCCCCCAGGGACCCAGCGGGGATATCAGTGAGCGGTCACTTAGCCTTACATCTAAAAAAAGTGTCGTGTGCACCTCCAGAGACATCACTATAGCACGAAATGGCTCTTAGCCATGTTCAGAGATGATCAATTATCTCATCGATGCTGAAAGGCAAACTAAGGCATGTGGAGGAGGAAATATTTGTGAAACAGGAAAGGACTGTCCACATTCTAAAGAGCTCTCCAAATTCAATAATGAAACAGGCCAGTTTGGGGAATGGTAAGCAAAAGAGGAAAACATGCACCTCATCAATCATCCACCTAGCGGGTAGCCAGCGAGCACAGCATCCCTGGGCTCCCAGTGTGCTCAGAGGGAGAGGACGCAGGCCTGCACCACCCCGGGATCAGGTGCTGAGCAAACCGTTGTAATACATAAGTTTTCGTTGGTTGATTTTCCCAAAGTAAATCACCAAACCTTTCTTCCTTGTCTGTCCTGAAACCTGTTCAGCCTCAGGTGGATGGGTGCTGCCCATGCATTGGTCCAGGTCCCCAACTAAAGGTTCAGTGTCTCCATAAATTTAGAAATCTGGATGGTACCTAGAGCTGCCAACGTGCAGAGCAGCCGGTATGCTCACACCATGCCGGTCAGGCTGTGAAATGATAGGGAAGCATCAAGAAGCTGTTTGGCAGCTTCTTGCCAAAGGGAACCTAGCCCTGTACAGCCCAGCGATCCCACCCCTAGGTCTTCACCCCCAAGAGAGGAAAATGCACCTTCATACCAAAGCATGTGCTCGGGTTTATAGCTGCTGTTACGATTGCCAGAAACGGAACCGCCTGACTGCCCCTCAGCTGGTGACTGGCTTAAACGCTGCTTCGTTGTAGGACAGCGTTTACCAGGCAATGAAAAGGCAGATTTACAACCTCCGGTGTAAGAGGAAGATTTGGGATCCTAGAAGCATGCCCTGTCTCAGATTGTGGTGGTGACATGACTGTGTCTGAAAACTTGTGCTTTTTTAAGGTCAGTTTTACTGTTTAATCACTTGACCTAAAAATCCAATAGGACAAAAGCTAGGACACAAATGCACCCCACTAGGGGAAGGCTGAACCACCACCCGGCCATGCTGTCCAATGGGGGCAGCAGTGGGCACGAAGGTGATGGGTGAGAAGGACACCCCATCATTACAGAAAGAGCAAGTTTCAAAACCATGTTAATCGTCAGGCCCAATCTAGATCAAGACAAAACCAAACCCTTATCCCTATGTGAATCCACAGGCAGGAAGAGGGTCAGAAGTATTCAATGGGGAGAGCATTAGGGGGACAAGACCAGGGGAAGTTTGTGTATATTTTCTATAATGAACACACATTTGTGACGAGGCCTTTCGAGTACTACATACATGAAAATCAAGCTAACGAGAGATTGCCTTTAAAAACATTTATTTTTTAGGTAAAAGTTTACACTGCGAATTAGAGTCCCATTCAACAATTAACGCACACACTGCTCCATGATATTGGCCACACTGTTCCATGACATTTCCACCCCACCTGCCCATTCCCCTGCCCCTCCCTGCCCTCTCCTCTTCGCTTTTGGGTAGATATTAGCGCTTGGTCAGCCTTATAAAGGGGCACATTCCCCTCAGAGGGGTTATTTATTTTATTGTCATTGATCTGTGCCTTTGAGTCGGTTCTGACAGCAGCCTTAGGTACGACGGACAGACAACATACCCTGCCTGGCCTTGCACCACCCTCACAATGGTCCCGCTTGAGAGCTCATTGTTGGGCGGCTGTGCCTACCCTGTCCCTCCCCAGCCCCCCACTCCCCCCATGGAAGGGCTTCCTCTCTTTTGCTGGCTCTTCACTAAGCATGGGGTCCTCCTCCAGGGACTGGGCCCTCCTCAGAACACGCCAAATGTAGGTGAGATTTCCAAGGAGCATTCTAGCTGCAAATCTTGCCAGACAGATTTGTCTGTTCTTCAGGAAATGCAAGGCACACTCGGCGTGCCTCGCCAGCGCCCTGATTCAGAGCCATGGCCCTGCGGCAGGCTTCCTGATTCCACGGACACAGGAGGCGATTGAAAGCCCCCCCCACCCCCACACATACACACCTGAAGGTGACCCGGGAGTGGCTTCCATTCCATTCGTCAGGGTGTCTTTGGGGCAAGAGAGATGCTTTCTGGAGTAAAATAAAGCTACTCCAAGAAACACGTAATTCTTCGTTTCTACTCCATTAGCTTTTAGTGCCGGAAACCACCTAAATCTTGCCATTAGGGGAAAAACCTTTCCTTTAGCAACAAAATGTAGGAAAAACGGAGAGACGAACTCATCCGGCGTTTATTGACTCCCTTTGCTGTGTTCTGGGCGCTGCAAGGAAAGCAAGACACAGCCCTTTGGGGGGCCTTGTCCCGCAGTCCCCGGCCACGGCGCCTTTCCTGGAACTCGGGCTGGCTCCCCCGCAGCTTGCGAGCAGTTGGGGCAGACATTGCCAGAGCCTGTGCCCCTTCAAGTTTGGAATTCACTTCCCAGACGACTCCCCAAGCTTTATATTCTCTAACAAAATGAAACAAAACTCTTTAAAACGTTACCAGCGTAGACAGCCTCGGTGAGTGCATCCTGAATGGCAGGCAGCTCTGGGTCTGATTCCGGTGCCCACCTGCGTTGCGCGGCTTCATCCCAACCGCAGACAGGCAGCGGCTCCACTCAGGGAGGACCCGCCTCGGGGCCTTTTCTCAAGCTCACTGACAGGTGCTGCTGGACGCGAATGCAGCTGAGGAAGGCCAGACAAGACAGCCAGGCTTATTTTTAAAAGCTTTTTAAACATCCATCTGTTTAAATGGATTTCCTCGTGAAGGAAGAAAAACTTTTTTTTAATATTTATAATGTAGACCAAGGCTCATAGGACAGGGTAGAGCTGCCCTGTGGTCTTACAGGACTCTATCTCTCTGTGGGCGTAGAAAGCCTGATCTCTCTCCCAGGGGCAAGGGGCAGTTTGGAACTGCTGACCTATGGCTCATTGCCCAGTACGTAGCCACTACACCACCGGGCTCCTCTGGGTGGGATCCACTCGATGGCGGTGAGTTTGAAGCTTGGCTGTTTTGTTTGGTGTGTGTTTTTGTCTTGAGACCAAGGCTGGGACATAATAGTATGTCCCAGCCCAGCCGGGAACAAAACCGAGACTGTCAGGTTTCGTGTTCGCCCCTGTCTCTAATACTAGAGGCAGCTGCTCATCCCAGGATCTGGGGAGGAGGAAGTGTTCTGAGACAAAGCACAATGTTGGCAGAGGCCGGGAAGCAGAAAAGAAGGTCTTTGTAATAAATGGGAAGTGCCGTGTGAGAAACGGTGGACTGCTAACCATAAGGTTGGCGGTTCAAACCCACCAGACACCCCTGGGGAGAAAGAGTTGCAGTCTAAGAAAAACAGTGCCTCAGCCCTGGCCTTCGTTGGAAGTGGCTCCCACTGGGAGCACTAGGTGTTTGAGTTTGGTGGGAGGTGGGCGGCGATGAGACTGGGGTTCGGAGCTGCGTGGCCAGGTGGCCCACCCCCAGCAGGAAGAGGGTTGTATTTGTCCTCCCCAGGCTCTGCACCTGCAGAGCTTTACACTGGCCCCCACAGCAGACAGACTGGCAGGCACTAGACAGGCATGTGGGTCTGGGCACGCATCCAGAGGCTCTCCCCTCCGCCCCGGCAGAGACCATTCGCTGTGTGACATACAGGTAGAGCCTGACCCCTGCTGCCGGTCCACTCGCTTCTGCGCGCGCTCTCGCTTATCTCCTTCTCCAAGTCCTTCTCCAGGCTCTCTCCGGCACCAAACAGGATGCCTCCTGCAGGAAGCTGGGGGTTCAGGACAGGCCCTGCTGGCTAAGGCCGCAGGCGGGGATCCATCCACACTGTGCTGCTCTGTGCTGCCCTCTGTGGGCTGACATCTATGCAGCAAGCATGCTGCCTTCTGCAGGTGGGCGTGTCCCCTCCTTTCCCCGCCCCCCCGCTGCTGGAGCGCACATTGGTCTAGCCCACAGCCCATTATGGCATCAAGTCGACATGGCTGTTCAGCTTGCCACAGCTGACTGACACTCACCCTGGTTCTCAGCTCCGTATTTCCCAGAAGAATCTGATGGGTGCCCTTTGGAGTCAGTCCCCCCCCCCCCCAATCAAACGAAAAACTTAAGTTCACTGCCATCCATTGGATTCCAACTCACAGTGACCCTATAGGACAGGGTCAAACTGCCCCTGTGATTTTAAGACCTTAACTTGCAGTAAAAGCAAAAATAATCCACACATACAATTTTAACATTCAATTATTAACCATTTAAAATATTGCCCCCACCGCCACCACCCCTTGCTGATAGGAGCACCCTGGTATCCTAGTGGATTACACATGGGGCTGCTAACTGCAAGGTCAGCAGTTTAAAAACAGCTGCACTGTGGGAGAGAGGTTAGGATGTCTGCTCCTGCAGAATTAGTCTCAAAAACCTAGTGTTAGTCTCAAAAAACCGAGTTCTAGCCCATCCCACAGGGGCGTGAGCTTTTCGGAGTGAGTGCTGACAGACTCACGTTTCAAAGACTCTAGTAGCTGTCCTGTCACTTCACCTTTTCCTCGTGAGACAGTGGGGATTTGATGGCCTGGAAACAACTGCTCGCATCAAACTTTATCCAGCAGAAAGCTAAGAAAGGGCTGCTGAGTTGTGGCGATGTTCCAGGCGCTCTTGAACAACCTCGGGGGCACCACGCCTCTTCCAAATCCCCCCACACACCCCAACTGGCTGGCAGGTCACGTGAGGAAAGTTTGTAAAGGAACTTGGCTCAGTGCCTGCTGCATGGTATGTTCAGAAAAAGTTTACGGTGGTTCAGTCTGCTTTCAGAGCTGCGGTCACTGAGCGATAACAGCAACCTGCACTTCATACCTGCATTTCCATCCACTTCCCAGAACATGACCTGCCCTGGCCTGTGGTGATCCTGGGCACCCCTGAGCCAGGAGCGGCTCCCTCCTGGGCCACTATCATGAGGTCTGCCAGCTGGGGCCAGTGGGCACCTTGGGTGCCTTCCATCAGGGTTTGTCTTTCAGCGCCGTAGGACATGTGGGTCTGTGGTGACCCATAGGGTTTGCATTAGGAACTGTTCAGAAACAAATCGCCAGGCCTTTCTTCCTAGTCTGTCTTGTGAGAAAGTTCTGGCCACCGTGGGGGACCCTGCTGCAACTTGAAGCCCTGGTGCTGTGACTTCCAACATCCCAGCAACACAAAAGCTACCACTGCTCCACAGACAGGAGCTGGGGAGGGCGGAAAACCAATGATGGTGGGGAACCGAGGACCTTGGAAATCAGATCGTGAAGAATAGCTGTTGTCTTTAGGAATCCCGAGTCAACAATAGCCCCCGTTTGGGATAAAACAAAAGCTTGAGTTGAAACCCCTGAGAGCTTTTTCTAACCACTTGGTTTAGAACCTGGAGGGTGCCGGTGCCCCTGAGCCAGGTCTTCCATGACTCCTCCTATCCCCCCGCCCCAGCAGAGGCCGGCCAGCCTGAGCACCCCACCGCTGAACCCAGGGTCCTGGATGAGTCTGTCCTTGTGGTGACTGTCCCGAAACCAAACGTCTAGAGCGCCCCCCCCCTGCTGCCTCG